AGAAGTTATGGATTTTTCAAGTTTATATTTCTACTGAGACAGAGTTAGATGGTTTTGAAAGGTCTCTTAAGAAATCAATATTTTTTTCTCATATTAGACCCATATATTTTCTTTTCTCAATTTTCAGAGGTGTCATCATAGCTTCTGGGTAAATTTACAACAGCTCTTGCCATGATTTTCCTTTATGGAAATACTGAGACTGTATTATGTATTAACATTTTCGTTTCTTCCAGGCCAGTAATAATAAGGTCTGTTCTGTGGTTGACTAAAGTAAAATAAACTGAACCATAGTTAAAAATAGTACTTTACATGCTTTTAAAGTTTCAAAAACATTTCCCACCTGATCTTTGATCCTGGCTAGACAGTCTGTGCCTGAAGCATGTCTGGTATTGTCATTCTCATTTGACAAACAGGGTAATTTAGATCCAGGACCAGTTGAGTGTGCTTTACGGGAAAATGTGGGATTTGAGGGCTGACTATGCCACTCACTTGCTGTTAACTCAGTCAAGTGGCTTAACTGCTTTGAGCTTCAGTTTTTTGCATCTTTAAAACAAGAACTAGCTAACAAGCTTGCAAGGTGAATTAAATGAAATAAATTATATAAATAGTTACTACTGCTAATGTTATTGTAAATGTAGTAATATATGCAAAATGTATTTCCTATGCTGTGAACACTAATTGTTTTTAAGTAATTAAAGACAAAGTATAGTAAGACAGTTGGTGGAACCCCTTTCTTACAATACTTTAATGTGTAAACAATGAAATGCACAGAAAGCTTCTAACTATTGTGTTTTTTCTTCCTTTAGATATTGAGAAACTTTGTACTTTTAGTCAAAGGTTTCCTCTCCCGTCTATGTACCGTGCATTGGTATGGAAGGTGCTTCTAGGTATGAGACCAAGAATTAGAAATTTATCTTCAAAAATGTTCATTTGTCATTGAATCAGTCAGAAAAAGGAAAAGTTACTGAATATTGGGCCTAATCTTAGGAGACTGAATTCCTGCTCACTATGATTGCCTTTAAGGAGGTGGCTTCAATGGGAAAACATTAAATATTACTCCTGAGTGTCAGTTTATTAATGATAGAAGGGAAAGTAAAGTATGTTCCTGAGACAAGGTGGGGGAAGAGCATTGTACTGGGAGAACTAACTGGTCTAGGCTTTGCTGTCAACTGGGTAACCTTGGGAAAGACTTAGCTAGGCCTCATTTTTTGCTAAATTGACTTTTAGGTTTTAGCACTCAGTTTGGCATTTCTGTGATTCCTAGTCATAGATGTATACTTGTTAGAAGCCCAAAGGAATTCAATTCTAGTGATGAGTGGCTAAAGAAGGAGAAGGGACCTTGCTCAGTTTCTGTGGAAGGAAAAGTATATCAGGTTCCACAAGTGACTGACGTTATCCCTTTTAGCCAAGGTCTTTTTCTCTTTAATTGCTGAGCCTGCTGAAATATATACCACCCTCCTTTTCTTTCTTAAAAAAAAAAAAAATATTTACTGGCCTGTGTGGCTCAGTTGGTTAGGTGTTGTCCTGTGCACCAGGAGGTTGCAGGTTTGATTCCTAGCCAGGGCGCATGTATGGGTTGCTGGCTGGATCCTCAGTTCAGGGTGTGCGGGAGGCAAGTGATCAGTGTCACACCCTCACATTGATGTTCCTCTCTCTCTGGAAATTGGTGGGCTATTCTTTAAAAAAAAAAAATTAGAGTAATCCTAGAATTTCCCTGTGAGTTAAATATCAGTATCCCCATTTTGCTACTTGGAGAAAAGGATTGTGAGGCTAAATAACTAGTCTAAGGCCTTATAGCCTCTCAGTAGCAAAGCTAGGTTTTGAGCTCAGGTGTGTAGAGCCCATTTGAAGGTAGGATAGATTACAGACCTTGTCTTTAAAAAATGTACTGTATTTTCAGGCCTTGGCAATTCTTAGTCCCAAGTCTGACTACAAACCATTTCAGAAAGCACTGCATAATGACTTTTGTTATGCATCTTTGTACTTATATTTCTAGTAGGTCACTGTATAGTTGAAATCTAGAAAATGGTTGACAGCTATTTTAGTTTTCCCCAGCATTTTTCTTAAATCTTAGTGTTTCCAGTAGTCATCCAAATAAGGATGCTTTTTAGGTGGCAGTGTAGATATTATCTATTTCTGTTGGGAAATATTATGTGTCTAACTAGAGGCCTGGTGCACGAAATTCGTGCACTTGAGTTTGGCAGTGGGGGAGTCCCTCAGCCAGGCCTGTGCCCTCCCGCATTCTGGGAGCCCTCGGAGGATGTCTGACTGACAGCTTAGGCCCGCCGGGCTTCTGGCTGAGCGGCACTCCCCCTGTGGTCAGTGCATGTCATAGTGACTGGTCGTTCTTCCATTCGGTCTATTTGCATGTTAGCCTTTTATTATATAGAATAATGACAGTGGATTAATGGGAGAGGCACAGTTGTACTTTGTGACACTTCCCAAGTGCCAGGCTATCTGGCTTATTCCTCACCTGTGTTTCCCCACCTGTCTTTCTCAGGCAAGTCTTTGTTGTTATTTTTGTGGTAGAGGCCCTGGGGATTTAGGGCTGCCACGCTGTGTAAGAGACAGGGTGACTCCTCCTACATAGGCTGTGGATTACTCAGGGACCTTGTCATGCCCACTTCATGATTGTCGGGGGGCTCCCTTCTCCGAGTCCAGCACGGAGAGAGAGAGACATGAACCGATTCTTTTAAGTAGAGGCGCTGGGGATTTAGAAATGAAAGAGACAGGACACAAAAATAGAATAAGCTGGGTCCGGGTGTGGCGTCTGCCCTCTGATGGAGGGACAGACAGACAGACGCGCAGCACCGGAAGTAAAATTTAATATATATATATTCGAAGTAACAGGAAGTTACATCACATCTGGGTGGGCCTTGAGTTAATAGGATCCATCCCCCTTAGCACCTGGGTGGGAAGGTCAGACTGAGTGGCGACCTAGCCTCTTGACTAGGACCGCCCCCAGGGCGTGGCTCTGACTGCACTCTGGGTCCAGCCAATGATATTTAAAAAACGCCTGAATGTGCTAGCCAGCAGCCCTCCACACATGATATTGTTTTAGGTAAATATCAGAAAAAGACTTTCTAGGACTAGGTCTTAAAAAACAAATGTGAGGTTTGACATAGAACATTGTGCTGCCTCTAGTAGTATGATAAGGATTTAATTACACCTATTTAATCTGTACTGTTTTAGTCCAGATTTGGAGGACATTTTAGTGTATTTCTCTGGCTTTTCTGGAAGCCTGGCACAGAGCCCCATAGCTAAGGTAAATAAAGATTTATGTCAGGAGAAAGAACATTTAAGCAAGTTTGGTTGTAGAATTAACATAGCATCATGTTAGCTAGAGTCCTTAAAGCTCATCCAACTTTTGTTTCCCAGAATGTTCTTTAGAATACTGGATGTGCGGCATTTTGTACCAAAGAGTGATCCATAGTTAGGTATACTAGCTAACACTTCTACTACCTTTCTAAGTGCTTTATGTATATAGATATTTTTATTCATCACAACAGCTGTTTGAGAAAGCTATTATGATTCCCATTTTTCCGCTGAAAAAGTGAAAAGAGATCAAATGAGTTGCTGATGGTCACCCACCAGTTAATTGTAGAGCTAGAATTCAAACCCAGAAACTTTGACTCCATAGTCTGTGCTGCTATACCATTTGGTTAAGTTTAATGGGGCTGGAATAAATAAAATAACATGTTTTTCTTTATAGCAAAATTTAGAACCTTGAAAATTCATTGTCATCACTTTCCAAATCTATTTGACCACGGCACCCTTTTCTCATGAAGACTCTAGGAGCTAGTGTCCTGCAAAGCTTGTTTGGTGAAATGCTTACCCCTCCCATTGCCCACCCCTGATAGGTGAGGGAACAAGGGCCCAGGCTGATGTTCCTCAGAGTCCTGCTGTTAGACCTGGGGCTAGACCTTCTGTATTCTTTCCACTCTGTTTTCTCCATGCCATTTGTTTGTTAAAAAAAGCACATGGTTCTTGCTCCAAAGCTATCTTTAAGTGAGTTAATAAGAATAAAATGGCATCAGAATGTAATGTATGGTGGTGTTGTCGGTGCAGATTAGAGATTTCTGTGGTCCTGAAGGTAGGATACATTGTGAGCAAGTTTCAGTTGTTGGGGAGAGAAGTATTTGATGGGTAATTGGTGGTTCTGAGATGAAGGGGGCTATATTGTCAGCTAGTGCTGCCATAACAGAATGCTACAGACTGGGTGGCTTAAACAATTTATATTCTCCTGGTTTTAGAGGCTTGGAAGTCCAAGACCACGGTGCTAACTGATTTGATTCCTGGTGAAGCTCACTTCCTGGCTTCCGATGGCCACCTGTGACATGGAACACCGGGGAGAAAGTTTCATGCCATGTCACTGTCTTCACATGGCAGAGCATAAGAGTGCTCTGGTATTTCTTCCTTTTCTTAGAAGGCGCTATCCCTATTGGATTAGGGCTCTACCCTTGTAAACTCATTTAACGTTACCTTCTTATAGGCCCTCTTTCCAAATATAGTCACGTTAGGGGTTAGGGCTTTCACATATGAATTTGAGGGGACACAAGCCAGTCCATAGCATGGGCCAAGTGGGAAAACTGGACGGGCCTCCAGGAGCTCAGGGTTGCCCAGGCTGGCAGCTGTAATTGAATTAAATCATTATTATAATTGATACTAGAGGTCTGGTGCATGAAATTCATGCACGGGGGGGGGGCAGTGTCCCTCAGTCTGGCCTGTACCCTCTCCAATCTGGGACCCCTTGGGGGATGTCTGACTGCCGGTTTAGGACCGAACCCACAGGCAGTCGAACATCCTTCTCACAATCCAGGACTGCTGGCTCCTAACTGCTCACCTGCCTGCCTTCCTGATTGCCCCTAATCGCTTCTGCCTACCAGCCTGATCGCCCCCAACTGCCCTCCCCTGCTGGCCTGATCGCCCTCAACTGTCCTGCCCTGCAGGCCTGGTCACCCCCAGCTGCCCTCCCCTGCTGGCCTGATGGCCCCCAGCTGCCCTCCCCTGCCGGCCTGATCTCGCCCTCAACTGCCCTCTCCTGCTGGCCATCTTGTGGTGACCATCTTGTGACGATGTGAGGGCGGCCATCTTGTGGTGGCCATCTTGTGACGACATCGCGCGATGCCACCTAGGCTTTTATTATATAGGATGGTTATTATCTTGTAATTGATATGGTTATTATCTTGAATTTAGATGACACACTTATTCAAGGGCATTATGATGCCATTTCATTTCTCTTTTATACAGTTGCCATTCAAATATTGAGGGTATTTAAAATTCTTTTATAGTGAAAATTTCTAAAAGAATCTATATGGTAAATACTTGTGTGAGTTTTAGTTTAATTGTGATGGGTGGCTTCTTCCAGGATTCTCTTTAATGGAGGAGGGGTTTGGATTGGTATCTTAATATTTTGTCCTTTATTTTTTCTGGATCTCTGTATAGGGATCCTGCCTCCACACCATGAGTCACACACCCAGGTGATGCTGTATCGTAAGGGGCAGTACTCGGATGTCCTTCATGCCCTGAAAGTCGTTCGCTTTGTCAGTGATGCCACACCTCAGGTTGAAGTCTATCTCCGCATGTATCAGCTGGAGTCTGGAAAGTTGCCTCGAAGTCCCTCCTTCCCACTGGTTAGTGATACTTTTGTTCGACACTTAGCTCGATTCTACACTGTCCCATCTTGCCAGCCTTTGATTGCATCATGTTTTGCCTTAGAAACTTTCAATGGGTCCCCTTTGTCTATAGACTAAAAGCAACACATCTTTTTCCAACATTCATCTGACTCCATCTGCCTAATTATTTCAGATACTATGTTTTATTTTGAAGTAATTTCAAACTTATAGAGAAATTGCAAGAATACTATCAAGAATTGCCATATACTCTTTACCCATGTTCTCCAGTCATCTACAATTTTGAACATTTGCTTTGTCATTTTCCTATATATGTATACACTAGAGGCTCGGTGCACGAAATTTGTGCACTCGCAGGGGTGGTCTCTCAGCCCAGCCTGTGCCCTCTTGCAGTCCAGGAGCCCTTGGGGGCAGTCCGGCATCCTCAGCGCTGCAGCAGAAGTGGGAGAGGCTCCTGCCACCACTGCTGTGCTCGCCAGCCGTGAGCCCAGCTCAGGGCTTCTGGCTGAGTGGCATTCCCCTTGTGGGAGCGCACTGACCACCAGGGGACAGCTCCTGCGTTGAGCGTCTGCTCCCTGGTGGTCACTGTGCGTCATAGTGACCTGTCCTTCTGCTATTTGGTTGATTTGCATATTAGCCTTTTATTATATAGGATATTTTTTCTAAACCATCCTATATAATAAAAGGCTAATATGCAAATTGTTCCTTCGACTGGGAGTTTAACCAGGAGTTCAACCAGGGGACAGGGCTGGCTGGCCTCGCCCCTGATCAGCCCCCCTCCCCCAACCCCGATCGGAGCGGGCAGGCTGGCCCCCCCCTGTGCACGAATTCGTGCACCGGGCCTCTAGTTTGAGAATAAGATACAAACATGATATTGCATTACTTCAGATTTCTTCAGTGTATACTTCCTAAAGATAAGAACCCTCCCCTAGCTAACCAAGAAGTTGACATTGATACAATATAAACATCTACTCACTTCATTCACATTTGACCCAGTGTTCCAATAATGCCCTTTATTAAAACAAACAGTAAAAGTTTTAATTCAGAACCTTTTCAAACTTTCCTATCAAACTTTTACCCACTAATTTTATGATTTGTTGATTTTAAAATTTTTAATGTTTTAACTATTCATTTGGAAATCATTTTAAACATAGAAAAAAGTTGTAAAAATAGTCTAGTGTTCCCATATACCTTCGTCTATCACCTCAAATGTTACATCTCACGTACTGTAGTATAATTATCAAAACCAGAAAATCAACATTGACACACACTGTCAACTCCTTGGTGGGCATTCCTGACATTGTGCTGATTGTCCCACTGATGTCCTCCTTCTGGCCCTGGATCCAGTCTGGGATCACACTTTATGTTTATTTCCATGTCTTCTTAGTCCCCTTTAATCTGGGACAGTTCCTCTGTCTTTCTTTGTACAAACTTTCATAACCCTGGCATTTTTTAAGACTACTGGGCAGTAGAGCATTGCTCAGTTTGGGTTTGTCTGATGTTTCCTCATGATTAAAATCTGGTTTTGCATTTTTGGCAGGAGTATGATACTTAGTACTGTTGCTGCTAACTTTGTTCACTTGGTTAAGGTGGTGTCTGCCAGCTTTCTCCAATGTAAAGTTACTATTTTTCCCATTATGATTAATAAGTAACTTCTGGGAAGCAAGTTTCATACTATGTAAATATCCAACCACTTATGATTCTTGCTTGAAACAATTTTGCTGATGGCCAAATAGTGATTTTCTGACTCCTTTATTTGTTTATAAGGAAGGTTTTCCCCTCTCCCTCACTTATTTATTTATATCAGTATACTTTTATGTCTTTTTGCCAAGTCCCCATCTTTTTGAGCATTTTTTTACTTTCTGGTACAAAGAGATATTCCAGGTTCATCTCGTGCTTTCCCTGTGTTGGACCTGGAATCAGCCACTCCCACTCCCATGGAGTGTGGTATTTAGGAACCAAGAATAGGGCACTAGATACGGTCATTCTTCCTAGTGTATCATTGCTTCTAGGCTCTCTCAGCAGGTGCAAGGAAATATGTGTGTGTACACACACATTCACGTACATAATCACACACATCTGTGTACTAGTAGAATATTAATAGGTTGAAAGAAGGCCTAAAATGAAGTACTTTTATTAGAATAGGAATTTTGATTTAACTTGGAACTTCTTAGGAGAATAGAAAGATACTTTTAGTTTCTTTTTTAGCATTAAAATCACTCAGCTCTTAAATCCTAGATGAAAATGTATTTTCATGTAAGATATGGTGTTTGGAAACAATAGATTTTCAACAGATTTCACTTTTTATAAGATTTCTTTTGTTGAAGTTTCCTTAAGGGTTTACTTTCATGTTCTGAGTCTTGACACGAAAGTTTGAGTACCATTCTTCTGAATCCTAACATGCTGATTTGAGGGACATTTTAACGTTTTAGGTGCTTAAAGATAGAACAAAATTCTGCAGGTCTGTATGAACACTTTGAAATAAAGAACAATGCTTTCTTAGTCCTTTCCAAGTCAGTCAGTTTTTGGAAATTACCTTATTGACAAATGTCTCCAGTTATGTGTGCTGTGTAACACCTTGTTGTGAAAGAAGTGCTCCTCAGCACTGAGAATGTTTTTGGGTGGAGAGAAGCAACGCCTTCCGGCGTTTGCTGATGCTTTCATGGACAGCCTTGGTGGTAGAACAGTGATGGCGAACCTTTTGAGCTCGGTGTGTCAGCATTTTGAAAAACCCTAACTTAACTCTGGTGCCGTGTCACATATAAAAATTTTTTGATATTTGCAACCATAGTAAAACAAATATTTATATTTTTGATATTTATTTTATATATTTAAATGCCATTTAACAAAGAAAAATCAACCAAAAAAATGAGTTCGCGTGTCACCTCTGACACGCGTGTCATAGGTTCGCCATCACTGCAGTGGAAGCTGGAAAACCTCCGAGTGCAGCCTGAGCCTGGACACTCATCAGTAGCACACGTTCCCATAGACTTATTTCTGTGGTCGCTCATTCTCACCTCCTCCTTGCTCCTCTCTTTAGTGAAGGATGGGTGCTTTTTGGTTCCACTTTGACTTATTAATGCAGCCTCTTCAAAGTTTAGGGGGTACATTCTCATTTTTATCAAAGAAATATTTATTCCTCCCTTCTGCTCCCTCCCTCTTGAGATTTATTATTCATCTTTCAGAAGCCAGAAGATGAAGTGTTTCTTGCCATTGCTAAGGCCATGGAAGAGATGGTGGAAGATAGTGTCGACTGTTACTGGATCACCCGATGCTTTGTGAACCAGTTAAACAACAAGTACCGGGACTCCTTACCCCAGCTGGTGAGGGACGCTTTTTTGGCTGTTGGTGGGGAGGGAAGGGAAGGGAGAGGGGGGTGAGCAGTGGTACTGGGAACCTTAGGGAAATGCTCTAACCTCTTGGTGCTGCTACAATTAGGAGCAGACCCCTCTAGTAGGAGTCAGCACGTGTTTTCTGTAAAAGGCCAGGTAGTAACGCTTTCCAGCTTGGCGAGCCAGATGGTCTCTGTGTCTCTATTGCAGTCATTCAGCTCTGCTATTGTCACACAGAAGCAGCCGAGGGCACCACATAAAGGAAAGGTCATGGCTGGATTTGGCTGCTGCGGGTCATAGTTTGTCCACTCCTGCTCTATAGTATTACTTAATGCTGGTCTAGAATCCACTGGCTTTATCTAGAATTTTCCCTGTGTATGAGGTAAGGTTTAAGTTTGGCTGCACATAATAGGAAGATCCCAAAACAGAAGCCTTATTGTTTTGTTTCCTGAAACGAGAAGTGCAGAGGCAAGGTGTTTCAGAGCTGGCATCCCAGCACCACAGTTTCAGTAGGGACCCAGGCTTCTGCCTGCTGCAGCGTGCTCAGGTGTGATCCTTCTTCTTGGGCTCACCAGGTGGATGCTGCAGAGACAGTGGTGACATCTAGGCAGGCAACAAGGGCAAGTTGAAGAAAAAAGCACAGGAACACAAGGGGCAAGGTAGTCAGGCCTGTCTTTCTGTAACAGACTTTCCTGCTGCATGTCAGTCAGTGGAGGACAGTGTTGCCTGGCCGCCCATCTGCAGCAGAGGCTGGGAAATGTGCTTTTATTTAACTGGACCCACTGGGACCTCCCATTAACACAGGATTCTGTCTGCTGTACTCTCACTGGGAATCCAGAGAACCCGATGGCATTTACTTCATCCGCCTAAGCCAGTGGGCCTTTGACATTCTCTTTGTCGTTTCTTTCCTTATTTCTCTCATTATAAAAATGAATCCGTCTTTTTTTTTTTTTTTTAAATCATTGAGTTTTATTTGAAAGTTCTGTTGAAGCAGCCACTGTGACATTGGGTTGCAGGGCCCGAGGAGGGGCACTAAGGATGAGCCCTGTGGCTCACTGCTCCAACTGAGTCAGTCAGCAGGGCAGCTGGCCAAGCCTTCAGCTCTGGAGAGTACTGTACAAGAGAGGGTTTTAAATATTTAAGTAAAATATGATCTTTAGAATCTTAAAATTTAATTCATTTAGTTTATTACAATGAAAATAATTTAAGCATGGCATTGGAGCATCTGTAAATATAATGTTGCCTCATTAAATCAAAGATGTCCAAATTATTCCATGATTTAATTAGCCTTCTTTCTTATGATTGGAGTAAATTCAGTAACAGTTTGAAAGGTTCTGTTTAAAAATTCATCCTTTATTTTTGATAACACAGGTAATAGACAGATATATTCTTGAAGCATTAAACAATCCAAATGAATCCTGTGTTCCCATAGATATGTGACAGTACCTCCTCATCCCCCATTTTCTAAGAAGTAAACCCTGTTATCAGTTTGATGTGTATTCTTCTACACTATTTTATGTACATTAGGATGGATGAGTGTGTATGCATGTGTGCATATACATACATATAATGATACATATTTTTAGATATACTAGTATAAATATTTTTAAAAACGTAAATATTACCACACTGCTTATATAACCCTGCAATTTATTTATTTAAATATGTTTTTATTACTGATTTTTAGCAACAGAGGAAGGGAAAGAGAGAGAGAGAGAGAGAAACATTGATGTGAGGGGGTAGCATGTCAGCTGCCTCCTGCATGCCCCCTACTGGGGATCGAGGCCTCAACCCAGGCATGTGCTCTGACAGATAATTGAACCTGCGATCTCTTGGTGTGTGGGATGACGCTCAGCCAACTCAGTCACATGTGGGCCAAGGCCCTACACTTTATTTTTAATTTAATGTCTTGGAGGCTTTTCAAGTTAGTACAGATAGATCAGCAGTTTTCAGCCCTGAATTCCTATTAGTACCATATGGGAGCTTTTAAAAATTTCCTCTATGCAGACCAATTAAGCCAGACTTTCGGGGTGGGGCCCCAGAATTGTAATTTTTCAAAAGCTCCAGGTGATTCTGAAGCTTGGCTTAGGTTGAGAGCTACTCATTTAGAACCAGTGTTTTTTTTATTTCCTCATAGTATTTCTTGTTAGGAACTTGCCATAATTTAACATAATAGGTCCATGCTGACCTTCAACATGCCCTTATCCATGTTCCTTTGTGTATGTCTGTGCGTGTTTCTCTAGGATGGGTTACCTATAAGGGGAGTGTGCACTTGAAGGAGAGACACATTTAAAATTTTAACTGCCAGGTTGCTCACCAACCCAATTTTGCTTCCTCCAAGAGATTATGAGATTTCCTGTTTTCCACTCCATTGACAATACTTGATAGTATCTATCTCCTAAATTTTTGTTAATCTGATAGTGAAATGGTACCCATTTTAATTTCCATATCCTCATTTTCTAGTGAAGTTGAGCAGCTTTAAATATCTACTGGTCATTTTTATTTATCCACCTTTTTAATACATTGTTTGAGTCCTTTTTCATTTCTAAGAGTTAACGATAACTCTGGATGTTTATCCTTTGTCTGTTATACATGTTGAAAATATTTTCTCACTGTTGTACAAAGATTTTAAGTTTTGATACAATTGGATTTGTCAATATCTCTCTCTTGTTTTTTGTATCTTATTTAGGAAGCTCTTTCTAACCTGAAGATTAAAAAGCAGTTTTGTTATTTTAGTTGACCTCAGTAAGAAATTTATTTGTTTAAAAAAAAATCCAAATGCTGGCATTGTACAAAGAAATTTAACAGGTTTATTTATATTGTTATAAAGTTGAACTGCTGAAACTTGTTCACTGAAACATTTGACTTGCTTTAATGTTTTATGTCTCCACATTTATATTACAAAATTCACACACAAATGAAAGTGGGAAAACTGTCTTGCTTGTACTGCAACCTAAGTGCCTGACATGGGCCCTAAGCATACAGTAGGGGCTCACTGAGTAGCTGTTAGATGAATAGATGAAGGGGTGAGTGGATGGATGCATGGTTGGGTAGATGGGTGGGTAGGTATCTAAGTTTAATATAAATTCCTCTCCGGGTAGTTAAGTTTCTTTTTGGTCTGGTTTTGCCTTCTATTGATGAGGTATGCTGTATTTTCTCCATAAAGTAAGAATTTAGGGTCATAGAAACATTGTAAATAACCTAAACCTATTATATGTAAAATATAATAATCACATCTACTATTTGCTAAGTACTAAAATTTCAGGTAATATAAACATTATCTCCTTCCACAAAAAAAAAAAGCATATATGTAATTTCTGTTCACCCTCTTCCTTAGAATTAGCAGTAGCACATGATACCCATTATTCTTCATCCTGCTGTTTTCACTTGATATATACTGGAAGTCATGCCATAATAGTATAGAGAGACATTCCTTATTCCTTTTCATGGCTACATACTACTCCATTGTGTGTATATATGCTTGTTTATTCAACCCATCCTCTATTGCTGGCTATTTGGGGTGTTTCCTGTCTTTTACTATGATACAATGTTATAGATCAGTGGTCGGCAACCGGTGGTCTGTGAGGTCCGAAAGGTTGGCGACCGCTGTTACAGATAATAGGTTTATGTGTACATCTTTTCATATATATGCCAGTATACTTTTGGGATAGATTCCCTAGAAATGGATTGACTGATCATATGTTACTTCGCTAGAAATATTCATATTCCTCTTAATAAAGCTTACACTCTTTTGCATCCTCATGACTAATGGATGAGAGTGGCTGTTTCCCACAGCTTGCCAACATGGTGTGCCATTTTTGCCAATCTGATAGGTGAGAAACAATACCTCAGTGTAGTTTTAGGTTACATTTCTTTTATTAACAACATGAAGCATCTTTTCATATGGGTAAGAGCCATTTGCATTTTTTTTCTATATAATTTGTGGCTTTTTTCTTTTCTATTTTTAGAAGTTCTCTTTACTTAGGGTACTCACCCTTTAAGGTTGTTTGTTAATCTGGGAAAATGCCCACAGTATGTTGAGTACAAAGAGCAAAATTCTGAGTTATATATTCATGGTGAGTTCAACTGATAAAAGAAAAGTGTGTATGTAATGTATATAGGAAAACAAATGAATGCTGTACAACCTCAATATTATCACTAGTTATCTTTGGGTAGTGTAACCATGGGTGACCTTTATGTCCTTCCTTATTCTTTCCTGTATTTTCCTTTTTTTGTGTTTTGTTTTATTAATCCTCACCCAAGGATATTCTTTCCATTGATCTTTAGAGAGAGTGGAAGGGAGGGGGAGAGACAGAAAGAGAGAAACACCAATGTGAGACTCACATTGATTGGTTACCTCCCACACAGGCCCCAACTGGGGCCTGGGATTGAACCTGCCCTTGACTGGAATTGAACTGAGGACCCTTCAGTCCACAAGCTGACGCTCTAACTGCTGAGCCATACTGGTTAGGGCTATTCTCTCCTGTATGTTCAAGATTTCTTATAATAAGCATATTATAAATCAGAAAACATACTTTAGAAGAATTTAAGACTGGCTAAAAGATGTACATTGAGTTATTATCAAGATGTTGATTAATATATTTCAAAATTTCATTTAATTCCAATATTTATTTATTCATTGAATAGTTATATATTGAGTACTTATTATGCCAAGTAATGTTTTAGATACTGGAGAACTAGCAGTGAGCAAAACAGATACAGCCCCTGCTTTCACTGAGCTTATAGTCTAATAGGGAAAAAGACAATAAATAGTTTTAGATCTTCACTCATCTATATTTTGTTTGTTATTTGTATTGCCTTTTGGAATAAATTTTCTTTGCTGTGAGACATAATATATAAATGTGTTTGTGTGTGTGTTTTCACCCATGTCACTTTGTGGAAAAAGCATACCTACACGCCACTGGCATTACCTACCAAAATTCTAGAATAGAGTTTCAGAGGTGAAAGGCTAGTGCAGGAGCCCTCTGGCAATTTGTACTTAGAGAAAAGCTCCTGTTTTGGGGAGCTGCGTGGGGTGTTCTTGAGAAGGTCTAGGAAATGTTAAGTAGGAGAGGTAAGGTGGATAAACAGAAAAGGTTAGAGGTCCTCTAAACGAGAGAGGGGAGAACTGGACCAGATATTAATACGCGGGCCCACTTGGTGAACTCCTGTGCGTTCTGTGGGCCAGCTCAGAGGTCAGCTCCCAGGGAAACTGTTCTTGGCTTCTAAAGCCTGGGTCAGGATTCCCAGCTGGGTGTGCCCACATCCTGTGGTGATCCCCATCACAGCTTTATTACAGTGTGTTCTGGTTACCTCTTTCCTGGGCTCTGTAAGCTCCTCGAAGGCAGGGATGTGACCTTATCTTTTCTTTTATTCCCTGTATGTAGCAGTGTCTGGTTATAATGGACACAGCGGGGTTTTGAATCACCTCTTTGGCAGAAGCATAGAGATACAGGTATTTAGTAAAATAAACATTTGCATGCACTTGGTGATAAGGTTGTGCTTTTCCAGATAGGGAGTATAGACTTTAGGGTTTAGCCCTTACAGCCCATTCGTAGCCAGTGGACCTTAAATAGAGTAGCATGGGCCAGGCGGATGGGGCCTGGCCTGGGGAGCCGGCTGTGTTAGCCTCTCCATCTTCTAGAGTTGGCTGCTGCTCAGCCTTATGTGGGAGAGGCTACCAATCCAGGTACTGTGTTCCCCCTGCGGTATTCCTCTGATGACAGAGTTCTCAACGTACATTTTGTTGGGTACAGAGCTCCTCCTCTGGACATTCCTGGTGGGTGGGCCTCCTTGGCATGGTGCACAGTAGTGCTCAGCACATGTGTGTGGTCAGTGACCCATGGGCCCTTTTCATCTCCAGCTCTTTCTGATTCTTCCTAGTTCTTGCTCCCACTTCATTACCATTCTGTTTCTCTGGTCCTCCCCTCCCCTTCTCCCCCTTTTCCTAGAGCAGCCAGGAATATCAAGGTCCTATCAAAGCTCCCCAGAACAATTGAATTTGCTTTGGACTTTTGCCTTAGGCCGTTGAATCTGGTTAGGGCAAATAACATTAGGGTGACCAGCTGTTCACTTCGCCTGGGACTGTCCTGGGAAACCCCTCAGTCCCATGGGTAGTGGCTCCGGATATGCTGACTTGGGAAGCGCTGCATCACCAGTGACTTGGATTATTCTGAAATTTTGGTTCCTAGCACTTGCTTGCATTCATCATGTACATTTTTTCTTCATAGGCTGTAAGAGTGGGTAATGTTATGTCACGGGAAGTGCGTAATCTCTTCCTGTTTCATCACTAGCCAAAGGCTTTTGAACAGTACTTGAATCTGGAGGATAGCAGGCTACTGAGTCACCTGAAGATGTGTTCTGCAGTGTCCAGACTGCCTTACGATCTCTGGTTCAAGAGGTGCTTCGCCGGGTGCTTGCCCGAATCCAGTTTACAGAGGCAAGTATTTCTTTCAAACATACTGAAGCTGGAGTCGGAGAAGAATCCTGGTTTTCATGTGAGCATCCCTCACAATATAAATTAGCTCTAGAACAACACAGTAATTTAAAGCTAACTTCTCTAGCAGCTAACATAACACATTATTCTGTTATACATACACTAATATTAATATTAATTTAATAGTAACAAACATTACAAATATTAGAATATCTACACTAATAAAAGAGAAACATGGTAATTGGCGTACGACCGCTACCCTTTTCATTGGCTAATCAGTGAGTATATGCAAATTAACTGTCAGCCAAGATGGCGGCCGGCAGCCAGGCACTGAAGCGAGCACGAGGCTTGCTTGCTGCAGACTCCAACGTTCCCCGCCTCACTTGCCAGCCTCTCATCTGCAA